AAGGACTTTATGCTTGGAAACGTAAAAGGCTGATCAGGAGAGGAAAACCCTCAAGAAGATAAATTGACTCAGTGATTGTAACAATGGGCCCCAAGTATAATCAAAGATAGTGAGGATGGCATAGGAGGGCGGGTTCAGACCCGTTATTTGTAGGGTCACTATGAGTCACAGCTGACTCAATGGCACATAATAACAACATTGGAAAGTTGAAATTATGTTGTCATTGTGTGAGAAACACAGGTGGTAGAAGGCACAGTTCAGCATGGAGGTGTGTCGGTCAGTCTGTTTCTGTAATGATTACCCCCTGGAAACTCCATGAAGCAGTATGAGTTCAGAGTTGACTGGATGGTATTGGTTTTAATAAGTAAGGAAATGCATTTTGAATCAGATGATCATATGATCTACTATGCCGGGGATGAAAAGATGAGGAAAAAATGGGGTTGATTTCATAATTAAAAAAGTAATTTCTAGATCCATCATGAAATACAATGTGGTGAGTGACAGGATAATATCCATACGCATATAAGGAAATCCAGTGAATACCACTATCATTCAAATATATGCATCGACAACTAGAGCCAAAGAGGAGGAAATGGAAAATTTCTACCAACTTTTGCAGTCAGAAATCGATTGATGCATTGATAATAATGGGCAACTGGAACGCAAAAGTTGGGAAAAGGGAAGACGGATCAGTAGTAACTGGAAAGCATAGACTCGGTGACAGAAATGAGGCTGGAGAGAATTCTGCACATTCAGTGATTTATTAATTGCAAATACCGTTTATAAGAAACACAAATACAGGTTATACACATGGATTTCACCTGATGGTATGCAAAGGAATAAAATAGATTACATTTGTGATAAGAATCGCTGGAGAAGCTCAATATCAGCTGTGAAAACCAGGCCAGGTGCGGATTATGGGACAGATCACCAACTTCTCATAGGCAAGTTCAAGCTGAAGTTGAAGAAAATGAAATCCATGGGAACCAAAATTTGACCTTAAGTCTATCCCTCTCGAATTTCGAAACTGTTACAGGAACAGATTTGAGGCCTTGAGCACCAATGAGCTTAGACCAAATGAGCTGTGGGAGGATATTAAAAAATATTGTCCATGAAGAATGCAAAAGATCATTACAAAGGCTGACGAGGAAGAAAAGACCAAGATGGATATCAGATGAGCCTCTGAATATTGCATTAGAGCGCCAAGAAGCCAAAGCTAAAGGAAGAAATCGAGAAATTATAGAGCTGAACAGAAAATGTCAAAGGGCAGCTGGGGGCAGCAAAGCAAGATACTTTAATGAAATGTGTGAAGAGCTGCAGTCAGAAAATCAAAAGGGCCGAACTCGCTCAGCATTTCTTAAGCCAAAGGAGTTGAAAAACAAATTCAAGCCACGAGTGGCAATACTTGAGGATGCTTTGGGTAGAATGTTGAATGATCCAAGAAGCTTTAAAAGAAGATGGAAGGAGTACACAGAGTCAATGTACCAGAAGGAATTGGCGGACACAGAAGAATTTAATGAAATAACATATGAGCAAGAGCCTGTGGTGATAAAGGAGGAAGTTTAAGTTGCTGTGAAAGAATTGGCAAAAAACAAGGTTCCAGGAGTTGACGGCATATCAATTGACACATTTCAACAAACAGACGCTGCTCTGGATGTGCTCACTAACTTGTGCCAAGAAATCTGGAGGACAGCCAGCTGGCCAATTGACTGGAAGAGACCTATATTTGATCCCATTCTAAAGAAAGGTGACCCGACAGAGTGTGGAAATTATTGAATATAATTAATATCACATACAAGCAAGATTCTGCTGAAAGTTATCCAAAAACAACTGGGGCAACATGTCAACAGAGAACTGCCAGATATGCAGGCTGGATTTAGAAGAGGTTGTGGTACTAGGGATGCTATAGCTAATGTTAGATGGATCTTGGCAGAAAGCAGAGAGTACCAGAGGAATGTCTACCTGTGCTTCATTGACTATGCAAAGGCTTTTGACTTTGTGGATCATAGCAAGCTGTGGCTGACTCTGAGAAGAATGGGAATTCCAGAACATTTGATTGTGCTTATGCAAAACCTGTACTTGGACCAAAAGGCAGTCGTCAGAACAGAACAAGGAAACACTGCATGGTTCAAAGTTGGGAAGGGGATCTACCAGGGATGGATTCTGTCTCCATACCTTTTCAATCTGTATGCAGAACAGATCATCTGGGATTCTGGGCTGTATGAGGAGGAATGTGGCATAAGGATTGGTGGAAGATTCATTGACAGGCTTGTTGCATGTAGTGCCCACGCCAGACTAGCATAAGAGGGGTTGCAGCCCAGCACCGGATGAAGGCATGCATCGGAACAGGGCACTTGGACACATGTGCCATGAAGAGGCACATGGGAGGGAGAGGGGCACAACTGTGACCCAAGGCCCATGGGACAGCCTGGGACACATGTTGTGGGACTGAGGTGTGTTCGGGGCAACGTCTGTGTGACACATTTGAGGAGGGGAGGACGTGGGGCTGGAAGGCCTTAGCTGAGTAGACAATGGTTGGTATAAGTATCACATGTGACCTTGCTTTCCTCCCCTCCTGCCTCTTCCTTTTGCCTTCCTCTCTATCCTGCCCCCGGCTTCTTGGCTTCAGGAGCAGTTGGGTTAGGTGACTCGGGCACATGGTGAGGAATGAGGTGGCCCCACCCTTGCCCCAGTCCTTGAGCTGGGTGCTTTCGGCCAGGCTGCTCTAAGGCCCCCTCCAAGTCCCCTTCTCTAGCCTGGGCCCTGGGACTTGGGTCATGGAAGTAGTCACAGGCCACAGGGTTTCAGAACTTGGATTGGGGCTGCTCTGACCTTTCTGGCCCCTGACCAGGCCTGTGGGAGTAACGCCCTTGGGTTCTGGGGTGAGAGTCATGCTATGAGCCGGCAGGGCTGTGCATGTGCACACATGACCTATGCACACCAGGTGTGTAAGTGTGTCATGCACATGGTGCATTCCAGAGTGTGCACATGTCTGTTCACATGGGTTTGTGCGGGACTTCTGTGGCTCCCCACCCATGTATGGTCATAATGTGTCCTTTGGGTGCCCATGAGTCTCCACACATGTCTGAGCCTTGGACGTAGCTAAGATGCAGACAGGAATCCTGGAGGCTGTGTGGGACACAGAGTCCTGGGCATCTGCATGCCACATCCAGATAGTCTAGCTATGCTGCTGCCTGTCTCCTAGCAACCAGGCCCTCAACCTGAGGAAAGAGGATGCTCTTGTGGGGCTGAGTTCAGGTGCCTCAGGTCAGGAGTCTCTGAGGGGTCTTGGCCTTAGATTCCATTGGAGTTAGCTGCACCCCCCTGTCTTTGTGCTGAGTGGTCATATGCTGGCCACCACCCAGCTGTCCTCCATGTGTCTCTAATAACAGGCCCTACAGGTACCACCCTGGTGAAGTGCTTGTGCTGTGGGACTTGGTTGGCTGTGTCCTGGGGTAAGGAGGCTGTTGGATTAAGGTGCTCTTTGCAGAGAGCTGGGCGAGTAGGGACTCGGGGCACAGCACAGGGTTAGCAGCTGATCCGAGGCCTCAAGAGGGCCTGGGCATGGGTGGAACTGGGGCTGATGAGGACATTTGTGGGGGACATGTGAGTGTCTGCTTGTCTGAGCCGGTATGTTGTTTTTCCCTGTATCTGTGTGTCTCCCCAGTGTTCATGTATATGAGCCTGTCATCTCTGCAGTGTCTGTATTTCCAAACCTGAACCATGTGTCTGTGTCCACATCCATGTGTCTTAGTTTGCATGTGTGTCTGTCCAATGTCCTCATGCTGGAACTGGTCAGTGTGTCTGTCCAGTGTCTGTGTGTCTGAGCCTGTCAGGTGTACGTGTCTGTGGGTGGTCTCTGCCTGCCCATCTCTCCGTGTTGCCCTGGTTCTCTGCTTGCCTGCCACGTGATGACCCCTCCCCCACCAGAGCCACAGCCTCCTCTTCTCTCCCAGCTCCTGGCTGCCTCACAGCTACAGCGGCTGCGTCTGTATTTGCTGAGAAGGAGCCACCCCCACCACAGCCCATCTAGTCTGCTTCCAGTGCCAGTAGCCTCCCTTCCAGCCTCTCTCGGGCTGCTGGGGCCCTCAACCTGACCTGGCCCTGCCCCACCTGCCAGCTGTGGCCTGGATCGACCACCCCAGCACTGGTTCCTGAGGTGAGGTCACTGTCCAATGCGGCAGGGAACTGCGGACAGCTCATTGGGGGGTTGGGGTGTGCAGAGTGGGGGCAGGAGGAGCTGGGCACTGGCAGCAGTGTGTGCACTTTGCTTGTATCAGAACAGACACCCAGCCAGATCTCTTGGAGCCTGCGTGCCCCTGAGGACCCCTCTGTGTGTGCACAGGCATGATCTCATGTGTTGCTGCATCCCCTGCCCTGTGCCCACGCAGGTAGCTGTGTGTGTGTCTGTGTATCCCTGCGGGGACATGAGTCGTAGTGTGAAACCACACCAAACGGTGTATGTGTGGGTCTATGAGCCAGACGGGCCACATTCCTATGCAAGCTTAGATGTCCTGTCTTTGCATCCCTGTGTGTGCTGTGTGTCCATCTGTCCCCATGTGTTTGTGTCATCTGTCTGTCCCTGTGTCACATGTCTGGCTGTCCCTGCCCCTTGCCTATTTCTCCCTGTCTGTGTCGCCTGTCTTCATGTCCACATGTGCCTGTGTCACTTCTCTGTCCCTGCCTGTGTCATCTGTCTGTTGTCCCCATGTGTCTGTGCCACATGTTTGTGTGTCTCTGTGCCTGTGCCACTCATCTTCATGTCCCCTTTCTGTGTCACCTGTCTGGATGCCGCCTTGTGTCTGTGTCATCTGTCTGTCTCTGACTATGTCACATGCATGAGCGTCCCTGTGTGTGTGTCACCTCCCTCTCTGTTCTGTTCCCTTTGTTTCTACGTTTATCACATGTCCCCCATGGGGACCTAAAAGTGTCCCATGGTGCGATGTGTGCCTCGTGGAACCCACAGTCACGTGTCACTACAGGTGCTGAGCAGCTGAGGGGCGGCATGGAGTCCCTTTTCCCTGCTCCGTTCTGGGAGGTCTTCTACAGTGATCACCTACAAGGCAACCTCTCCCTCCTGAGCCCCAACCACAGCCTGCTGCCCCCGCACCTGTTGATCAATACCAGCCATGGCTCCTTCCTGCCAATGGGGCTCAAAGTCTCCATAGTGGGGCTCTACCTGGCCGTGTGCATAGGGGGACTCCTCGGGAACTGCCTCGTCATGTACGTCATCCTCAGGTAGGCAGGCCCTGCTCTCACTGGAAGCTCCCATGGCCACAGAAGGGGACTGGCTGGGCCAGGTGGGGGACTTTCTGCTTCCCATATCTAATTCCTGGTATGTTGGCCCAGGAGAGGCCTGTCTGGAGATCCTGGGCACTCAGTTCTTTACGGTAAACATGAAGGAAGAGTCCCTGCTTATCTAGGGGGTAGTGCCCAGAAGGCATTCAGAACTGTCCCTGCCTGTGTGTGGGGACCCAGGGCTGTCCCTGACTGTCTCAGGGGAACCCAGGACTGTCCTTGCCTGTCTAGGTGGCCCACAACTGTCCTTGCCTGTCTGAGGGGGGACCCAGGGCTGTGCCTGAGTGTCTGGGGGCACCCAGGGCTGTTCCGGCCTGTCTGAGGGGGGACCCACGACTGTCCTTGCCTGTCTGAGAGGAGACTCAGGACTATCCTTGCCTGTCTGGTGTGTGAGGCCCTCCTACTGGCTGTTGAGGGTGGAGGGTGAAGCTGTATTTCGGTCACTACAATGTCACTGATGACTTCACTTGTCTGAGGTGTGGCAGGCTCTATGCCAAGCTGCCTGAGTGGATTGTGTCATCAGAGCCCAGTGCATCTTGTACCACTGCTGTCTTGTTAGTCCACTCTATAGATATGTGTACATATATGCAAATGTGCACTCTATACATGGTGGGCAGATGTGCAGTGTGCAGTCATGACTGTTCTGGTTCCAGTGCTTGGGACTCAGTGCTGACATTTTGCTCATCCAGACCTTCTGATGTTCACAAGAGGGAAAGCTCTGGTAGCCCAAGGCAGGTGACTGAGGCATGGGGTGACCAGATGCCAGGTAAGGGAGTGTGGGCATGAGTGAGTGGCGAACAGAGATGGCCCAACACAAGGGAAGGATCTTGAACATGAGATCAGGTAGATGGGCGGGAATGCCGGGGGCTGGGGCAGGTGAAGGCTCTTGAATGCCAGGTGGAGAATTTAGGCAGTAGGGAGCATATACCCCTGAGCAGAACAATCCAACATCTTCTGCAGGTCAGCACCAAACAGGAGCTAGCTACTCCCCCTGCCTCCTATCTGAAATTCATCACACACACAGGTTCTCACACGTCTGTGCACATGCATGATGCAGAAAGACATGATGCTGGAGAAAGTGCTGAGAGTCCTAGGGTGTATGTCCTAGCCTCAATAGTCCCAGGCACAGCAGCTAGTGGTGGGGACGGTGGTGGCAGAGGCAGGATGGGCAGTGGAGGGTGCACAGACCCTACTTTTTGTCCTCTGGTTGGTTGGGAACAACTCTTCTTCTCTGGAGTTTATTTTCCTATTTGGAAAACAAGGAAGGTGAACAAGAAAGCTACCAGTATGCATGTGCACGTATGTGTGCATGTGCGTGTATGTGTGTGCATATCTTTATGAAAGTGAAGTGTGAGTATAGGTTTGCATGAGCACAATCAAGTGTTCTGGGATTTCCATTCTCCTCAAGGTTAGCAACTGTTTACTGTGATCTACAGCTTTTGCACAGTCAACGAAACACAGATAGGCATTCCTCTGGTACTCTGCTTTCTGCTAAGATACGTCTAACATTGGCAAGAGTGTCTTGTGTGCCACGACCTCTTTTAAACCCAGCTTATGTTTCTGATAGTTCTCTCCATTTGCTTTTGGACAATTTTCAGCAGGATTTTGTTTGTGTCTGATATTAATGATATTGTTTGATAATTTCCACATTTTGTCTGGTCACCTTTTTTTTTTTTAATGGGAATAAATATGGATCCCTTCCAGTCAGTTGGTCAGGGAGTTGTCCTCAAGATTTCTTGGCACAACTTGGTGAGCACATCCAGAGAAGCATCAGTCTGTTGAAATATGTCAATTGGTATGCTGTCAATTCCTGGGGCCTTATTTTTTGCTAAGTCCTTCAGAGCAGCCTGAACTCCCTCCTTCATCACCATTGCCTCTTGATCATATGTTATTTCTTGAAATTCTTCTGTGTCAGGCAATTCTTTTTGGTATAGTGACTCTGTCTACTCCTTCCATCTTCTTTTTATTTATTTTTAAAATTATTTTGTGTGTGTACTGTCAAATCAGATCTGACTGGTACAGGACGGGATTGTCCCTCTTTCTCCAGCACAGCATCTGGTGGATTTGAACCGTTCACCTGTGGCACTGCAGTGCAGCTTCTTGCCACTAGACCACCAGAACGCACTTCCTTCCAACTTCCTTTAATGCTTCCTGAATCATTCAGTATTCTGCCCATAGCATCCTTAAGTATTGCAACTTACAACTTGAATTTATTCTTTAGTTCCTTCAGCTTAAGAAACGCTGAGTGAGTCGGCCCTTTTGATTTTCTGACTCCAGTTCCTTGCACATTTCATTATAATTCTTTGCTTTGTCTTCCCAAGCTCCCCTTTGAAATCTACTATCCAGCTCCTTAACTTCTTGATTTCTCCTCTTTGTGGTGGCTTCTCTGTACTCTAGTGCAATATTCAGAATATCTTCTGACATTGATTTTGGTCTTTTCTTCTTCCATTTTATTTTCTTTTTTGAGATTTTAATGAAAGTTTATAGAGAACTTGGATTTCCATTCATTCATTGTTGCATTTGCCTCCATTTTTGTAATGACCTTTTACATTCTTTGTGGGTATTATTTTTTAAATAAAATTTTTATATTATACTGATTTACTTACAAAGTTCATAAACATTGTTTTTCACACTGGATCTTTCCCATTTCCTTTATCCACCTCTCCCTCTACCCATCAAATTGTGCAACCCTATGATTACCTCCCTGCCCATCCTCAGAGGCTCCTACTCTTCCCCCACCCACTCCTTGGGTCCTCATACGTGTTTTACTAGTTATCTTTCTGTTTCAACAATAATGGTCTTATACAGTGTTTGTCCTTATGGGGCTGAGTTAGTTCACTCAGCATAATGCTCTCCAGCCCCTCCTAAGTTAGGCAGTGACTGCATGCTGTTTAGTATTCCATCATGTGAATGTACCATAGTTTCTCAATCCATTCAATTGTGGTTAGACATTTGGGCTGTTTCCATGTTCTTGCAATGATAAATACTGCTACTATGAACATTGGTGTACAAATTTCCATTTGTACCTCAGTTCTGATTTTCTTGGGGTATATTTTAAGTAATGGAATAGCTAGGTCATATGGAATGTCTATGTTTAGCTTTTTGAGGAAATGCCAAACTGCTTTCCAGAGTAGTTGTACCATTTTATAATCCCAACAGTGTATAAGAGTTCCTATCTTGCCACATCCCCTCCAACATTTATTACTTGCTGTCCTATTAAAGTTTGCTCCTGCGACTGGGGTGAGATGGTATTTCATTGTGGTTTTGATTTGCATCTCTCTTATTGTCAGTGATTTTGAGCATTTCTTCATGTAGCTGTTGGCCATCTGAGTATCTTCCAGTGTGAAAATTCTTTTAATGTCTTTTGCCCACTTTGTAATTGTGTTATCAGTCTTTTTCTTGTGGAGGACCAGGAGGAGTAGTCTGTAAACTTTTGATACGAGACCCTTTTCTGAAATGGTTTTGCCAATTTTTTCCCCCCCGCAATCATAGGTTTTCTTTTCACTCTGTTGGAAAGTATCTTTGATGCGCACCAAGATTTAATCTTTAGAAGGTCCCACCATCATTTTTATCTTCTCCAGATTGTGCATCTCTAGCTGTGTTTGGCATTCTCTTTATACCATAGACTAGGCTGTCTAAGCTTGATCCCAGTTTGTCTCTGGTGAACTTTATGGTTTTGGGCTTTACTCCCAGGTCTCTGATCCACCTTGAGTTGGTATTTGTGTATGCTGTGAGATGTGGATCCTGTTTCAGCTTTCTGCAGGTAACAACAGTCCAGTTTTGCCAGCACTGTTTGTTGAAGAGGTCATCATTTCCCCATTTGATAGGTTTTATCATCTTGTCAAATATCAATTGACCACACATAGCTGGGCCCATTTCTGGGTTCTCAATTCCATTCCACTGAGCTGTGTTCCTGTCATTGTACCAGTACTATGTTGTTTCTGTTAATACTATCGTGTAGTAGGTTTTGAGGTCAGGGAGTGCTATGCCCCCCACTTAATTTTTGTTTTTTCAGAAGTGCTTTACATATTCGGGGTCTTTTCCTTCTCCAAATAAACTTGACAATTTCCCTTTTGATCTTTTTGAAAAATGCATTGGTATCTGTATTGGGAAAGCATTAAACATGTAGACTGCTTTTTGGTAGGCTTGTCATTTTCACAATATTGAGTCTTCCTATCCAAGAACAGGGAATATTTTCCCCATTTATTCAGGTCTTTTATTGTGTCTTGCAGATATGTTCTGTAGTTTTCTTTGTCTTTTATGTCTCTAGTTAGGTTCACTCCCAAGTATCTCAATTTGTGGTTGGCTATTGTAAATGGTATTGCTCTCTTGATATCCTCCCGCAGCTCATCTAGTCTTCCTTTGTTAGTGTTCAAGGCCTCAAATCTGTTTCTGAGTTGGTTTTAAAATGCAGATGGGTAATGATTGAGATTGTTCACTGTTTAGTTTAGTTTGCTTGGCTCCACAGTCAACACTCTTGGCAACAGCAGCCAGGAAATTAAAAGACGTATTGAGATGGGAAAGTCTGCTGTTAGGGACCTCTCCAAAGTACTGAAGAGCAATGGTGTCTCTCTGGAGATTAAGGTGCGTCTGATACAGGCTATGACCTTTGCTATCACTTGTTATGCATCAGAGGGTGCAATGACTAAGGAGGATAGAAGGAGAATTGATGCCTTTGAGCTGTGGTGCTGGAGAAGAGTATTAAATGTACCATGGACTGCTAAGAAAACAAGCAGGTTCATCCTGGAGAGGGTTAAACCGGGCAGCTCCTTGGAGGCAAGGATTCTGAGGCTCCGTCTAACATACTTTGGACATGTTGTAAGGAGGGACCGGTCCTTGGAGAGGGACATCATGCTTGGGAGGGTGGAGGGACAGCACAGGAGAGGAAGGCCCTCTATGAGGTGGATTGATTCAGTGACTGGGGTAATTGGGATGGGTGTATCAGAGACAGTGCAATTGGCACAGGACAGAGCAGAGTTTAGGGCTGTTGTTGTACATAGGATCGCTATGAGTGGCAAGTGGCTCGATAGCACATAACAACAAGAAGACTCAAGGTCAAATTTTGGCTCCTGTGGATTTGATTTAACCTTCTTTAGCTTTACTTTGAACTTGCATATGAGTAGTTGATGGTCTGTTCCATAATCAGCACCTGACCTAGTTTTCAAAGCTGATATTGAGCTTCTCCAACGATTCTTGTGTCTGGCTCCACTGTTGTTAAGTGCTTTTGAATCTAGTACAACCCTTAGCGACCCTATGAGCAACAAATCTGAACTCTATCCTTTAAGACACATAGAAGCTTGGACATAAGGCATTTATGACCACTTTTTTTATCCTTATGGCAGGATAAATTTGGCTAAATCATAATAGTATTATAATTAAGATAGCCATTTTGTGGCTACATCACTTAATTACTTATGTACATTTTGGCTATGCTGTGTTGCCTGAAAAAAAAAAGATCAGCTTCTTCTGCATATTAAAAGTTAGAGTTTCTTCTTATTACCACTACCACTGTCCCCACCATCACCACTACTGTTACCACCATCAACTCATCCAGCAAATGTTTATTAAGCATCTACAACTTCGAAACCAAACCACTCTTCCAGGTGCTTTGTCATAACTAACACCCTTGACACCACTTCCTGTCTCCATTTTGGTGTGGCTGGGCAACTTTAGGGGGCTTGTATGGACTCTGGAGCCCTTGGAAACTTTTGGCAGCTGCTGAGTTAGTGTTAGTCAAGGATAGGTCTTGTAGGGAGACACACGGGAAGAGGGCAGGCTCCTTCTCTTGTAGGTCCTACCCTTTTACTCCCAGGGGGTTTCCTGTGCTCTGGTGCCCCCAACACCTCGATGTCTCTACAATGAACCAGTATTTAAGATCCAGCACCCTCTGTGTGTGTCAGAATGACTGAGGATTTACTAGGATGTTTTTATCAAGTTCTGTCCCCTGATATTCACTCTGTGGACCTTGGGTTGTACCCAGAGTCTGCATTTTGTGAGTTCCTATGGGCACTCTGATCTTGTCTTGGGTGCTGGGTCCAGCTAGGTGCTGAGTGAAGCCTCCTTCCCTCTGCAGACACACCAAGATGAAGACAGCTACCAATATTTACATCTTTAACCTGGCACTGGCAGACACTCTGGTCCTGCTGACGCTGCCCTTCCAGGGCACAGACATACTCCTGGGCTTCTGGCCATTTGGGAATGCTCTGTGCAAGACAGTCATTGCGATCGACTACTACAACATGTTCACTAGCACTTTCACGCTCACTGCGATGAGTGTGGACCGCTATGTAGCCATCTGCCACCCAATCCGTGCTCTCGATGTCCGGACGTCCAGCAAAGCCCAGGCCGTCAACGTGGCCATCTGGATGCTGGCCTCCATCATCGGCATCCCTGTGGCTATCATGGGCTCCGCACAGGTTGAGGATGAAGGTCAGTGTGGGGTCCTACCCCCTGTGGCTTCCCTGGGTTCTTGCCTGCCCTATAGACATGGGGCTCTGTACCACTCTCACTGCTGTCTCCTCCCCAGTGCTCTCCCCACTGTGGCTCCTGTGGGCTCTTCTCCACCTACTGTCCCCATGACCCAGTGCACTGACCACTGTCTCTCTGCAGAGATCGAGTGCCTGGTGGAGATCCCTGCCCCACAGGACTACTGGGGGCCGGTGTTTGCCGTCTGCGTCTTCCTGTTCTCCTTCGTCATCCCTGTAGTCATCATCTCCATCTGCTACAGCCTGATGATCCGGCGCCTGCGTGGAGTCCGCTTGCTCTCGGGGTCCCGCGAGAAAGACCGGAACCTGCGGCGCATCACACGGCTAGTGCTGGTGGTGGTGGCTGTGTTTGTGGGCTGCTGGACGCCTGTCCAGGTCTTCGTGCTGGTCCAGGGGCTGGGAGTGCAGCCTGGTAGCGAGGCTGCTGTGGCCCTGCTGCGCTTCTGCACAGCACTGGGCTATGTCAACAGCTGCCTCAATCCTGTGCTCTATGCCTTCCTGGACGAGAACTTCAAGGCCTGCTTTCGAAAGTTCTGCTGCTCCCCCACCCTTCGCCGGGAGACCCAGGTGTCCGACCGAGTACGCAGCATCGCCAAAGATGCGGGCCTGGCCTGCAAGACCTCAGAGACAGTGCCTCGGCCCGCATGACTAGGCGTGGACCTGCCCCTGGTGCCTGTCAGCCCGCAAAGCCCTTCTACGCCCAACACGGAGCTCACACAGGTCACTGCTCTGTAGGCTGGCAGCTGAATCTGAACACTTCAGCCCCCACAGGCATCCTCTTTGGCTAGAGCTTGGTCCATGGGCAGTAGGGTAATCAGAACCCATGGCATTGTGGGTAGCCAGGGCAAAAGAGCAACCACAAGGGCCTCCTGTTGCAGGGTGAACCTCGCACAGCCAGCCATTCTTGACCTCTTTCTGACTGGGTGTTTGGCTACTGGAGAAGTGCATGCACGTACAGCCCCAGGCTCCTCCTGTGCATGCATGCTTGCAGGTCCAGGGCTCAGACAGATTCCTGAGGCTCTAGGCCCCAAGAGCTGGGGCTGCAGCTGCTTGGTGGTGTATCTCCTGAGCTGCGCTGCTCCTCCACCTGTGCAGCTGAAGAAGACTGTGTACTGACTGGCCTTTGGCAACCATGGAAGGGTGACAACCCTCCTGGTTTGGTGCCATCCTGGGGGAGTCGGTCAGGTCTCTGTGATTTCTGGGTGCAGCTTGAGTGTATGATGCCCAAGCAGCACTGGAGACACTGACCTTCAGGGTGGGTGGTGGGGTACTGGTCAACTTGCTTGAGCTAAGCTGAGAGCCAACTGTGGGGCCTTGACATTAACCAGGGTCACTCTGAGTCCCTACCTGATATCCAGATGAGCTCTTGAGACACGGAATTCTTGGGCCTCCACTTTTGTCTGAAGAACTTGCCCAGGTGGCCTCTGGCACCTGCGTGGATTGGACACTCCATTGTGCCCCAGCTGCCATTCTGGTCTTGCGGGAATATCCCATGTGGGAAGTTCTGGATGCTGGGACAGGAGACTCATGGATTCTGATAGTGCAATTCATATATTTATGCATGCATCCCTCACCTGTACATGAGCTGAACCTGTCTTCATAAACACCTGCTTCTAACTCCACTTCATCTCCCTGGTATTGCCAGGGTTGGCGATCAGCGAGACAGCTTTCCTTCCAGGCTGTCTACAGCCGAGGGACCCCAGGTGAAGGTGTCATGAGTTGGTGGGGTCCTTGCCATTGGCCCTCCTTTCTTATAGCTTTCCCCTAAAATAACATCCCCTTGTCCACTTGTCTCTGGGCTCTTGTGTGGTTGTTCCCAGACCTGGGCCAGCATTTGTCATCCCACCACTTACCCTGACAAGCCCTCCTTCTCTGAGCCAGTTTGAAGAGGGACGTGAGAGCACACTGTGGGTTGGTAGGCTGTGCCAGGCCGAGGGACTTGTTTCCACAGCTGCTGGAAAGATGAGCAGCTAGAGGTTGGAGAAGCTGCCACTGAAACAACTTAGCAACAAGATGGGATTGCCTGGAGGCAGCCAGGAGAGATCCTGGGAAGCCAGAGGATCATGGAATCTGGGGAGCCGCTGACCAGATATTGGTCCCACAGTAGGGCCACGTCTTGAGGGTTAGGGAGGGTGGGGGCTCCAGTGGAGAATCCCAGAGGATCTTTGACTTCCAGCCTCATCTGTTTGCCTCTGCCTCTATCCTGAGGCTCAGACATGTGCTCTGTGCCCCAAGGAAAAGTAGTGCTCATGTGTGGAATATGTCAGAGGGACTGAGGTTCTCCTCTCGGGCCGGGCTTTCCTGCCGCTCCCTCTCTGTGTCTACTATGCCCCAACATGTGCTCATTTGTGTTCCTGTCTTTGTCTACCTTTGCCCTCTTCTTTGTTCCCCTGTTCCCCAACTGTATCCCAACCTGTGCCCCTTGGTTCCCATGTTGACGTACCATGGCCCCTTTGCCTCTGTTCCTATCCTTATCCACCTTTGTCTTGACTGAGAACCTCCAAGTCTCAGTTTCTTCATCAAAGGGAATAGTAGAGCTTCCCTTCAGGATCCTGGAAGATGTCCCTGGAGTGCTGGAGGGTAGGAGTCTGGGATACAAAGATCTGGGAGCATCTGTGACTTGAATTCTGACCATTAGGGGTGCTGTAAACATACTGAAGGCCTAGCTCAGGGTGCCTGCGGGACCCTGCTGGATGGGGTAGGGTGGGGGGGGGATGAGGCTCTGGGGACTGAAGGGTTCGGGCTCTCCCCTCACATAGGGGTCCAGAGTCTGTGAGATCAACCTCCTCCCAGTGTCCCCAGGTGGGCAATGCCCTCATGGCCCAGTGCAGATTGAAGCTCACCCCTACCCCCCTCTTGGCTGCCTGTGGACCCTCAGTGCTGGGGGAGTGGCCTTGCTGGCCACTATGAACCTTTGCCTGCCCTATGTGAGCAGCAGTATCCACCATGGTGTGCCCAGTGGCAGCAGCAGGACAGTGAAGGGAAGATCTCAGCTCCCATTCAGAGATATGGATGGAAGTGTCTGTCCTCAGAGGTCTTCAGAGGAAACTCAGTCATGCCCTGGCCAGACACTGACTAGCTGGGCTCATAGACTTGGCTGGGACTGAGGGTTTCTGGGCCATTACAGCTGGCTGGCAATTCTCAGTTGTCAGTTGCAGGTCTTTGCCCCTCCCACCTGGCACCTTCCTCTACTCACAATCCCCCCAGTCCCTCGAGCTCATTTGCACTTCTCCCCATCCCAGCTTCTCACTATGAATACAAGGCCTCCTTTTTCCTCAAGGAGCTTTGAGGCATGGCCACAAGTGCCCAGTGGTCACAAGCCAGGAGTTTGTCCATCTTTCTCCTGTGGAGCAGCTGTGACCCTCCCTGAGGTGTGACTTTGGAGAAGTCATCTCAGGGACAGCTAGTTCTTCTCAGTGCGAAATGGGTGTGTGGTTACTGCTGTCCCCAAATGGTTCACATAAAAATGGCTGACATGGCAGACGTTTTGTTATACACCTTGCTCCACAATAAAAAATGGAAAAAGAGCCGGCAGTCCTGTGTGACCTGCTCTACTGGGATGAGAGTGGTGGAAGGGCCAATGACTTCTCAGACAGACCTGACTTTGGGAACTGGTGGTCATCATGTTGGAAGCCCCCGGGCAGCTAAAGACTTGCTGAGGCTCAATCACTACATGAATATCTGGAGATATTCCAGTCCATTTTAGCCTTAGATGACCACAGCCTCCCTCTGCTGACATCCTGAACAAATGCTGCTGGGAGACCCTGAGCCTGTATTCCCTCAGCTGACCCACTCTGCAATTCTTGACCTGTGTGAGATGATGAATATTTGTTGCTCAAAGCCTTACAGTTTTTGAGGGGCATTGTGCCACAGAAGGGGATAACAGACATAGAATGGAGGTGACCTGCGGTCGACTGTGGTAGGTGGGGGAGAGTCAGGTGCCTTCTCGCTGTATGGCTCAGGCACAGCAGCGATTGCAGGACCAAGGTTGGAGGCACGATATGGTCAAGGAGCAACCCATAAACCCCAGGGCTGGATTGTGAAGGACCATGATTATGCCCAGGGAAGAGAGTGCCCCAGTCATGACATCAATATCATTGGAAGATAAAAGTGGGCTCTGCATGCTAACTGGACAGGCTGGCCAGACTTCTAGATCAAGGGACCAAGTTAGGCTTTGTGAGCTGAAAGAAACCAGAGAAGGGCGATGCCAAAGCCATTAAATGTAGGGGTGCGGGAGCTTGATCTCTCTTTTCTCCAGGGGAGGGAACTGAGATGAATAGCATCAGCCTCCTGAGGCTGAAGTCAGCCATGCCTGCGCCTTCCAAACCTCACCAGTTCAGATGGCATGTCAGCAAGCTCGCCGGGCATGCACAGAACTCAGACTGTCCTCATGGGGTCACAAGGTTTGTTAGGAAACTAACAGGTTGCAGTCTAGAAACAAGAAAGTTTCTGGCACAGTTTGTTCATTTGCACCCACCTCTTGGCAGCAGACTCGAAGTCTAGCCTCTCTCTGGTCTATGGGCCTCAGCCTGACCTCTGCCCAGTTGAGTATAGGGCATAGAGCTTGTTTCAGAGTCAGTTACATTCCTTGAAGGACTCTGTGACATCGGTGAGCTCTTGTCCTCACTCCTGTTTGGCCCTGTAGCCTCAGAGGCCCCAGCTTCCTTCTGCTTCATGCTGTCTTGTTTTCCAGGCCTCTATCTTCTGAATTGAGGATCAAGATGTTCTCAACACAGGAAATGGGCTCCATTCCTAGCTCTTCCACAATGGTGGTGAGGTGTCCCTTTCTTTCTCAGGGACAGCAACACTAACCATTCCCTACAAAGCACCTCACACATCTTATTTGCATGACCCCACCCTGTTCCTCTTTACACAGTATTAGGAAGCTAAGCAATCCCTTTGGGACACAAGCTCTTCATAATCCTATCCAGGCACTTAAGGACAGTTAAGAAAGACCATGGCTGCTAGGACCATGTGGAGGAATTCACAGCTCCACACCCAGCTATGCTGGGGTCTGTTGGGAACCACAGTGGACAGTGAGGAGCCTGAGTGAGGTCCTTCCTGCTAAGTGATTCTCATCAATAACCATGGGCTCTGGGTCCCTGATTCCTCAGCGATGACTCTGGTCCCTCAGTGGTCACCTTCATCCCTCATTTGTGACCCTGGTCCTTCATTAGTGACCCTTGTCCCCTCACTAGTGACTGTGGTCTCTGGGTCCTTGTCCTGGCCTCTCACTGATGACCCTGGTCCCTCACTGGTAACCCTAGTCCCTCACTGGTGACCCTGGTCTCTGTGTCCCTGTCCTGGTTCCTCACTGGTGACCCTGGTCCCTCACTGGTGATCCTGGTCTCTGGGTATCCTGCCCTGGTCACCTCTGGGGGTCCAGGTGCCATGGAAGCAACTTTGTAGCTCTTTCGTGTCCTAGGCCAGGAGGAAGGGGAGCCAAGGTTTATCACGTGACAGATGACCTCAAACTGAGGGGTCAGAACTTCTAACAGGATGGCCTGTATACTATAAGAGGACATGGGGCAGTGGTCACATCACAAGACATGTAGGAGCACCAGAGGGTACTATGGGGTAGGAGGGGACATAGGCCCTACTGGGATTATGAGGGGATATGAGGGGGTGGAGGGCACCATGGGCACAAGGGTCCTGGAAGGGTATGGGGTTGGGGGCGAGTGTGTTCTGGCAAAATGTCATCCAAGTTTCAGGCTTGAGACTGTGGCCTCATTTGGTTCCCAT